CATGTATTTAAATAGCACTGAGAGGGCTAATACTGAACTACTGAAAAGAAATAAGGAACGTGAAAATATAGACTTAACATTAGGAAAATGGTCTGAGCAGATCCTGTAACTACTTCTAGGCAATTAAATGCTATTCTAATGGAAGTTTGAGAAAGACTTTTGCAAAGTAGTAAGACTGGGCTATGTGCCAGTCTCGTAAAGAAAGTTGGAGAGACAATGTGCAATTGGGACTAAAACAGAGAAAACGAGCCAGGAAGCAGCTTTTTCGTTGGACTTAGAAGACACAACAAAATTTTGCACTGGAGAAATCAATATTTATAAAGATAAATGCTCATACATTTCTTCCTGGTGGAAAGTCAATATTTTGAGAGAAATGTGTACTTACTTTCATCTAAAACTCTGAAATAAAAATGAAGATAGAAAACAATACAGCGGTATCTATCAATATATGATAACAACTCCACCTGTCAGGGGTTCTGCAATGAAATAAAAATTTTAGTCTCTCTTTTCCCCCCCAAAGCCTCATTAATAAAAAATTACAAAACACTGTTTTATGGGAAACATAGGAAAAATCTACAGCTGAACTTGTCATCGATTCTATCAACTTAGCAACGCTGTATTCAACTTGAAATAACAAAAGAAATTCAAAGCATATCAGAACCACTGGTTCATCATCAGAAAGTTACTGCAAACAAATGCATGTATTTAATTTCCTAAAAATAATAAGAACCCCTCACATTTCTTTGTGCGTGTACTTGTGTAAGGAGTCTGGAAACCACTGCAGTTCCATTCTGCTGACCTCTAATAAAGAGACAGCATGCAGTGGTAGAGTATTCCCTCTAAAGGGATGTCTCATTGGACCTAAAACACAACTAACCTTTGTAATCATTTCAGATGAATTCTGCTTTCTACTAGGAACTACTAATGGCAAAGCACTGATTTGTCTCTGTCTGTCAAGGGACATCTACTTTATATGAATAAACACTTTACTCCTGTTTACACTGGTCACTGAAAGCAGAAAACTCATCAAGAAGGATATAATTCAATGAGAATATCCTAAAACAGTTCAAAGAAATTGGATGTGAATTGGAGATAACAATATCTTGCCTCAGGCTGGCACCTTCTATTTCTTCACAGTCGTTTCCACCACCCTCTTCTACAGGGTATAAAACCATACAGTGGTTTATATTGCTTTTATTTTTGAGAAATTAATTTATACTGTGTGTGGATTTTCCCTAAATGTCTTCTGAACATTTCTGAGCACTCTATATAAATGGACCATTCCAAAGACATATAAAACATTCAATGTCAAAAGGGAAAGCAAAGATAACAGCTGGAAATCCTGATAGCTCTGTTAGAATGCTTCAAATCAGTACTGCTTGGAGCACTCTGAAAAGTCCAGGGTGTTCTTGGAACTGCAAATACATAAAAGTTTAAGAAGGCCAAAAGATGCAAATGAGGCCAATACACTGCCAGTTTTGTTGGTTTCAGTATAGTTCAGTATCGATGTTGATAAATATCACCGTACCCATTATTATAAGGCTTTTGACCAAATAACACTGCAGAAAAGTAATTTTAAGATACTAGTGTGTAACTTAGCAAAATCACAGCCAATATTGCAATGCTACCATGTAACAACATGTTCCAACAACAGTTTTTAAAACAAATTATCTTTTTTTTTAAACAGTGATGTATCTTTTTCAGATTACGCATGTTTTACATTTATACATAATTGCATCTTGTTTCAATAAACTACCTTTAATACCAGCGATAACTGCAAGTAAAACAAAGAAAATGAAAGCATTAATAATTTACGCTCACAAAATTCTTTCACTCTGAAGATCCTACACAGCAATTACTTTAGCCTCACAATACCCCTGTGAGGTAGGTAATTACTATCAGTCCAATTTTACAGTGGGGAAACTGAGGCACATACAGGTTAAGTAGCTTGCCCAAACTCTTCATATAGAATCCAGGTACCTGACAGCCACCTTCTATTTCTTAGCCATCAAATCACCCTTCCTCACTAACAAATTTAACTGGAATATGTACAAACACTGCGTGTGTGTGTGCATGTGTGACTAGCATTTGTGCATAGAAACAACTCTGTTTCTGTATAGGCATGTACCAGGGTTTTAGAAATATAGAAAGGATAAAATGCTAAGGTGACATGGACATAGTTCAAGAGATTCAAAACCTAGCACTAGTGAGACTTTTCACTTGAAGATAAACCAAGACACCATGAATGGGAAAATGGTAACTGTATTTTCTCAGTTTGAAAATAATTGATTTTAAAGTTATTCTTGCCAGGGAATCAAAGGTTTCCTTTATTTTCTGCTGGGTATTATTAATACAGTTACGGCAATACTGACAACTCTTTAGAAAACAGTGTTTTTAAGACATGACAAACCAACCTCACAGGAGTGCTGCATGAATCAAATTAATAAGCATCGAAAAACATTATTACAGGCACTATATTGTGCTAAGTGTTAATTAGAGTACCAAGCAGTTAATATTCTACGGTGTTCCAAAAGACTCCTGTTCTCAGAGACACAAATCACCCTGTATTCAATGTATAAAAATAGCTGTTAAAACATAAATTATACGTGACCTAGTTCCAACAATGTCCTTCGCCAATCAGACAAACCATGGGAGAACAACCCCAACCTAGAACTTCCATCCGATCCCTTATCCATGAGACTAATCCCCTACTCACCTGCCCTGTACAAAAAAACGACTTCAGATCTATCTCACAGGAACAAGTAAGCTGCTTGCAATACTATTTTATCCTCTGTTCCAGCTCATTTCCACTAGAAAAAGCATAAAGGGCTGGTGAGGACGGAAAGCCTCTGGGGCAATGATCCTGTCAGTTTCCAATGCACAGCACATTTTGTCTGCACTCCTCTTCACGAAACCCAAACTCGGATACATGTAACACCTTGGATTTCTACACAGGCTGGCGTACAACAGTCAGCTAGAGCATTGCTTCTCTGTGAATCAGTTTGCATGGCACTCTATAACTACATAGGCAGAAATTTTAGAACAATTTTTGAAATTATTTTCCTGAGGAGTTTGCAAGCGCTTTTCAGAATCTTCACTTAAACTTTTCCACCTAGTTCCCTACAGTAAGTTCATAATCTAGATTTTCTTGTGCTTTACATACACATCCTGTGGGGTTTGTGAGAGCCTACAGTACTACACTGAATTATTACATCCCAGTCTGTTGCACTGGATGACCATACGCTCTAGGATATCCACAGCTACATGGAATGCATACGATAATTTTAAGACAGTTCATTTCTGTCTTACCAGCATTCATTATTTTCCATTTGTTTATTTGGAAAGATGTAGTTAGCTATCTGTATCCTCCCCTCAAGCAAGGTGGTGTGCAAGCTTGACACTAGCGTCAGTATGACATTCAGTGAGTAAAGAGCTATTTATTCCCTATCGAAGGCAAAAAGTGAAGAGATTATATAAATTTCTGAGAGAAGCATCCTAATTCCAGGCAGCTGTGACACATAGGATGCCAGATGTTTAAACTCATCGCACCACTGTGTTTCCTACACGGCTCCATAAACCCCAGGGAAAAGACCAGCAGGGTGTGGATTCGCCCCACTGCCACTTCCCTAGGGATGCGGAGGTCAGGACTAGGAAACCCTGACCCAACTCACAAAACTGGGATTAGGAAACTCTGACCTGACTCACAAGCCTTTCTGCAGGCAGCTCCTTCAGAAGCCCAACCACACTCCCTGCAGAAACAGGGGCCAGTGGTTGTAGGGACTGAGTGACACCCTGTCATGATGGAAAGGAAATAGAAACCCCTGAATCACAGCCCATCATGGCCCTCCAGACTGTCAAATCAACCGAAGCAGCAAAGGTCAGGTAAGAGTTTGCCCACCCCTGCCTGCAAGGGCAAACAGCCAGGGAAAATCCCCAAAAGGATGCAGGTGTGAAGGGGATGGGGGTGCGCTACCCAGTCCTGCCCGGAGGAGAGCTCTGACCTACCTGGCACCTCTGCCCTAATAGGAAGTTTTAAAAAAATAACCATACAAAGAAAACGACTTAAAAGAGGTATTTACACTCTCTGGAAATCTAAAAAGAGACAGGCCACCAGCACGGGGTTTTACAGGATAACTCATCTGGCAGCTGCCATCATCCTATAGGTGCTCGCTCAGGGGACAAGAAAGAGCAACTGAAATGACTGTCCACAAGTGAAGGCACCTGGTCTGGAAATAGCATCAAGCTGGTGTTTTTCTTTCACACGGGGTGGGATTGGGGAAGGTACTGGTGCTGATGGTTTGTTAGGACTTGCTATGCTTACAAGAGCATTACCCTATATTATGAGATATCTTAATTATCACTTTACTTCTTTTAATCCACAGAAGGGCCTAAGCCTAAATTCATTAGATTGTCTCACACATGTTTAAATTAAGAACTTGTATTGACTAGGAGTGCATTTGTCTCCTCGCTCAGTCCTCTCCCAGTACAGAAACACTTGGCCTCCTGAAAAAATATCATTGTGATCAAACAACCATCTGTTCTGGTCTAGTAGTGTGTGTAAAAATCACCTTTTCAGGCTGAAGAGTTCCAGCCTTCTGCTGAATACCTCAATTAAAAATATAGTTAAAAAGTTGCAGTCAATCCTTCTAAAAATAAACATAAAGAACTAGAGCATATACAGAAAAGAAAGAAGGTGGCATTGAAGGTGCCTAGGGCTACAAATTTGCTACCGTAGTTTGAGTTTCAATCCTAACGAGTTCCCAGGCCATAGAGTGAACACAAGACGCATTATCCTTCTTCCCCGGCAACTGATGATGGACACTTTTTTTTCCACAGGACCGGTAAGGAACCTCCTCTCCACCAGCATTTACAGCCATATTTGCAATTTTGTGACATCACCAGGGAAAAATAAAACGATACAGAGAAGAGTCTTTCGTTTTTTACGTTCAGCTGTAAATATCAGCTAACCAGGTAACTGTGCATCTCTCTGGAGTTGATGCTCAAAACCACGCCTGAGTGATTGCCTACGAAAATATAGAAACAAAAGACTGGCATTAGTGTATTTCAGGCACTTTACAATAAATCCCCCTTTTATTGCAGGGACAGGTCAATCACATAAAGAGAGTGGCTTTATCAAACAACAGGTCAGGTGAAGGTTGGTGCAACAGCTCCATGTACCTACAGCATACTTTCGCGCAAAGCTTTTGCTCATGGTGGTGGATTTGTGGCGAATTCCTAGGGTTTCTATCCCAGTGACAGCATAAGTTGGTTCTCTTTGTGGCTTAAAAAGGTGTAGTTGTCTCGAGGGGTGCAGGTGAGGGAGGAGAATGGAACCTGAGGCGTCCATTCAACATGCCACTGACCTGGGACTGGACACTGACCGGCATCAGCAATAGGGGAACTCTGTAGCTGTTCAAGTTGCCACTTCTCCCAGAAGGAGTCACTGCAAGGTAATGGTGTTGAGGAGTCCCAAGGTGGGGGTTGCGATAAAGTAGGCAACATAAAATATATAGAAAACAAAAAAAGTGGATGGGTGAGTCTGGAAATACTGTACTGTGGAAATTCAAAAGTTATGAGAAGAGAAAGAACAATCAGAAACCCAGGCCTGTAACTCCCTGCTGTGCATGGAGCGGAGGCTGCTACTGACATCTCCCAACAGGGAGGGAGAAAGCCCACCAGAACTAGAAGGGATCTCCATAGCATAGGAACCTTCTGCAAACGATGTTGTAAAACAGAATTTAATATAAAGCAGGGATTATAACACGTTTCATACTCTAGCCAGATAAAATAGAGGAGTATCATTAACAGGAATATTTTCTTGGCGGTACTGAGTGATACCGGAGCTAGTGGAAAGTATTGCAAGCAACAAAACAGTACAGCGAGCAGAGTATAGTTTTATGTCTTAAATAAGTCTTGTGTCTAAAAGCCGTACAGTAGCTGACGAATATGGATGATTATGATTCACAGAAATAAACTCTTTACACTCTGCTGGAAACGCTGCTGGTGTTGACAACCTGGCAGAAGCACCAATCACCTCGAAATCTGCATTTGCCTTAAGTTTCACATCAAAACATGATGATCTTGCACTCTTTAACCTGAATAATGCTCTGCCCAGATAGAAGAATTTTTTTTTTCTCCGAGTAAGGAGTGCAGGGCAGGTAGAGATTATTTCTGAATGCATTACAAATCAGGGTAGCATTTCTTTATTCTAACATCCCAAGCTGCCTTACATAAATAGGCCATAAGGGATTTTCTACCATTAAAAGAAGTTATACTTTTGTACATTACTGGAGGTGTTTGAATGCTCCACTTTAACAGTTATGTCTGCAAAGACTTTGTTAGCATTCAGCCTTCTCCTCTAAAGACCTTGGAGATGAGTTGATCAAACAATTTTAACACAGGCCTTGTTTTTCCAGGGGTTTTTTTGGAACTAACTCTGGTAGAGTCAGGAGTACAATCAAGGTTGTCTTGCAAAATCTGAATGAAAAAACAGTGATACTCATACACAAAGATTGTCAAAGAAAAGACAGAAATACACAAAGCAAAGCAGGAGGCTGGATTCTTCCCTTGTCCTCAAAGAACACCTCCTAACACCTCCAAGAACCTAGAAGCATCACACAGTTCAGCAAGTGAAAATAAAGACATCGACAACAAATGATAAAGGTGAAACCCAAGATAAAGAAATCTCTCCTCTGCCAAAATTCTGTCCTTCCCCAGGCTACCTACAGTGCAGCTAAAACACATCTTCTTCTGTGGGTTCATGAAGACATTACAGTTGCCTGCTACACCATGAATCTACTGCTACAAATCCCAAAGGCTTTGGGTTGTCTGATTTATTTTCACAAAATGTGTGGAAATGGAACTGGGGAGCTTTTTTCATTGTCCTACACTATTCAGCCTGTGACCTGAAAGCAGTCTTAACACAATGGTAAATTTTACAAAAAATGAACTTTATAGATCAGCAATCTGTGTTACATTAAAAATAACCACAGGGTGCCAGGAGATACACTTCCACCTGACACTGAAATCATTTGCACTGAGAGATATTCAGACAAAGTTTCCCTCTTGGGTTCCTTATGACCACCCCATGAATACTAGAAAGATACCAGCTAAAATAGGGAAGACTTATGATACTTTTTATACAGGAATAAATTTAATGTTTCTAATAATGAAAACCTTAAATGCCACTGGAATATGATGGCAAATACAGCAATGGATCTAGATATAATCTACCTGAAATCGTGGAAACATTGGCTCTACAAAGCCTTCTGACCTAAACGTCATTTTCCACTAATACAGGGGATTATTGAGTTAATTCAAATGTTACCTATTATATCCTGTTCTGCTAAATATAATTTTTCTCTAAAATTGTCTAAGTAAGTCTCCTGACATTAAACTGTACTATCTCTGTACTCACACTCTATATAGCATGTCATCCATACATTAGCCTGTACAACAAGCAAGCCAAAAGAAGATAACTGAGCCAATCCTCTGTTGGCAGTGTACTATTTGCTTCCTCCTGAGTCTGAGCAGAAAATGAAAAAAAGCTAAAATGAAAATGAACATCAATTAAAAATCAATTACTTATGAAAATTTATAAACTAAAAATGAAGTTACCTCTTGCGTTACCTAGTGTTTGAGAGTCCAGATCATCATCAATAAACTCCTCACCCTGGATGATGTTCTGGGTGTCCTCACTATGATTAACAGGGCTTGTCATCTCCTGCTCTTTTTCGTTGTGCATCTGGGCATAGACATTTCTGCCTGGCAGTTTCCTAAATTGGACAAGGAGAAAAAGTCTTGTGATGGAGTTTCTTTGTGTTGCACACACACTGGCATCAGAGCAGAGCTTCAGCAGAGCAAAACACACCAGAATCACAAAAAAGCACCAATCCTACCCTTCCTTAATTTTGAATTCACAACCTAAACATTCTAACTCCTTATTCTCAGTCACAGTTTTATGTAACTGCATCATCACAATGTTCATACCAACATAATAATTAAGCATTAATTTGTTGACTAAGATTGACAGGCAATGAACAATACTAAAAAAAAAACACCTAAAACCACAGAAAAGCTATTTTTAAGAATTCAAGCAACAAAAAGATCCAAGACATGTCCATTCCTGGTTTCAGGTGTTTTCAAAAACATTAAGCTGGGTCACAATCATCACCTCTCATGAGACCCCACCTGGAGTACTGTGTTCAGTTGTGAGGCTCCCAACATAAGAAGGACATGGACCTGATCCAGTGGGTCCAGAGGGGGGCCACAAAGATTATCAGAGGGCTGGAACACCTCTCCTATAAGGACAGACTGAGAGAGTTGGGATTGTTCAGCCTGGAGAAGAGAATGCTCCAGGGACACCTTACAGCAGCCTTCCAGTAGCTAAAGGGGGCCTACAGGAAAGACGAGGAGGAACTCATTATCAGGCAGTGTAGTGACAGGATGAGGGTTAATAGTTTTAAACTGCAAGAGGGTAGATTTAGATTAGATCTTAGGAAGAAATTCTTTACTGTGAGGTTGGTGAGACACTGACACAGGTTGCCCAGAGAAGTTGTGGATGCCCCATCCCCAGAAGTGATTCAAGGATGATTGGATGTTTCTTTGAGTAACCTGGTCTAGTGGGAGGTGTCCCTGCTCATGGCAGGGGAGTTGGAACTAAATGATCTTTAAAGACCCTTCCAACCCAAACCATTCTATGATCACATCTCCCTGGTGAGGTGGGATGACACTGAAGGTGTGTGATAGCATCAAATAGGCACTCTCCTGCTCCATCAGGGTTGAGGAGAAAGAAGCAGAAGAAATCCAGGAAGCAGGGAATGGAAAGGGAACAAAGAGTGAAGAACCATGAGGCCAGGAGCAACGGGTAAGGAGTAAGAAAGCAAGTAGGCATCAATAAGGGCAAATAAGAAGATGGGGAAGGTTAATGAAGTTTAGCAGTCAGCACTGAAGGCAACAGAGAGCAGAGCTTGGCCCAGGACTACTGGGAATTGCTGAATTAAACAAAGCTTTCTATAGCAGACAGCATTTAATTAATTCATTCTGATTTGAATCTAGAAAAAACAAAAAGCATATTATTAAATGGCTCTATCAGCTCTAAATGACAATTAGCACCATGGCTGAGCCTGGGAGGCTTAAAAGGAAGTATTGATAAAGAGTTCTTAAGGAGATTAACTTGAATTAGACTTTGTAAAATTAAAGGGAATAATCAGGGACTTCTAACTTTGTAACAGAAATTATGGTTTAAACATTTCTAGATAGCCATGTCCTTTGTTGTAGCTGCATTCACCTGCAATTTGCCCGGGCGCATAAGGACATCCTTTCCTAGGCACCAAGCAGACACTTCCAAGTGGGGAGCTGCAGGTTGAGAGCTCCGTTTCCTACACTGAAAGAAGCAGCTTGACAGCTTGATCAGCATGACAGCAGATCAACACTGTCGAAGTCTGTGCTCAAACAAAGATTATTGCAATGGGCAGACCATGAGAAGAGGAGAGAAAATGGGGTTGAACTACTGAGGTTAAGCTGTGATTTCTGCTGAGCTCCCTTAGACAGTGAGAAGATAAAAAATGTGACACTAATTTTTAGGCATCTCTCTAAGAACAACCATCTTTGCTCCATATTCTGGCAGCAGTAGTTTAAAAGCTGGATAAATACACAGGTGCCTCTGGTTTCCCCAGGCTTTTGAAGATGACCTGTCTTTAAATGTCATTTCAGAAGAAAGGCTCTTTACCAGGTGGCACTGTCTTATAAACTTACTGCAGCAAACTTTTTTGAACCATACCTTCCATTGCATCAAAGTAATTAGAATAAATAGACATTTCTAAACAATGAAAGATGACTGAAGAGGATCTCCTCCCCTTAATTTGAACGATCCAAGAAATGAATTGCATACTATATACCTGCATATATACACACACACACACGTATCTGTATAGGTATGTGTATACACACACACACAAAATTATATATATACAGAAATCAGGTATTTTATCTTGTTATTTATAAGCAGCACAAAGAAAGATATCTGATTGCCCTTGCTCTTTTCTATATCTCAGTGAGCATGGAGTAAATAAAGCGCAGGACTAACCAAATGCAAAGGACAAGGATGGAAAGAAGTTCTCATAGCACAACACAGCTATTATGACCACTTCAACAGATCGATGGGCTCCTCCAACACAAACATACACATAAAGCCAAGCTCTCCTCCCATTAACTGGATGAAAAAAGCCACATTGAAAGTGGGAAGGACATTCCTCATTACCTAAACAAATACATTAGGTAATTAATTTTGACTTTTTTCTCTAGGGCCAGTAACTCCAGACTGTTTTTAATGTGTCTGCTAATGAAACTGGTCATGTGGAGAACAAAATCCCTCTCAATCAGACCTGCATCAAACCTGTCAAATGGCTCACTTTCAGTCCACGGCCAAACGCCTAAGGGAAACAACCCCAGAAGAATGTCTTTGCAACATATCTGCAGAATTAGCACATATGTTTCTGCGATAATTAGGGGACCCTCTCAAAACTGTATTTGACAGATTGCAGAAGCATCAATGGCATTATGAAAATATTTTTGACACAATAAAAACATCATCCATCTCAAACCCATATGGCACATCAGACCTTTGCAGTTAAATAAAGAGAACAGAGCTGCTGGTCTAACTGTTGTCTGCCCAGGCTGAAGGACCTGTCTGAAACCAGGTGAACAAGGTGTTGGTGCAAATCCTGAGGCTTCAACTCACAACTCTGGTAAGACTTACTAGTTTGAGATTACCCCAATCACAACTCGTACTACTAAACATATTAAGGGGTTCTTGAATGAAGAAACCTCACAAGTTCACAAATAACCAATAAATGTGTTGTCGTTAAGAACACATCTTTATGGGTTATGCATAAAAGGAGAAAAGGCATAAGCTGTTATTTCTCACCCACCTAAACCTCATGAGCCCAGTCCTGCTAAGGACAGATCCTTCATGGAAGGCATAAAGTTGAGGTACTCAGTAACTCTTCCATACTTTCCTTTGCTCCTCTCACTTGCAGAGGAAAGCATCTTAGATTGCAACACAGAGTATGGATGGGGGGAAGGAGAATATTACAGGTTTTGTGAAGGCATACGCTGTAGGCATTTGACATTTTATACATTATAGAGATCCCTACGTGTTTCATATTGGCTCAATTTTACAAGGAAGAGACTCAACCAGACAGGAGAATATGATAGTCCAAGCCTTTTCAAGAGGCATTTTTAACACATGTGCCAGATGTTCTGTTTATAAGGGACAACCGCACTGTGGGATGAAACAGGATGTGGATACTGAATCCTTGCTAAAGATGGGCCTGATTCTGGCAATTTTCTAGTTGCTCCTTACTGCTCTAACATGTAGGAAGGAAGCTGCTACACCTAATTATACAGAGAAAAACCCTGTGTACCCTGATGTGTTTTGCTCTTCCTTAAGGAAGCAATTTATGTTGAGTCCAATATAACTGTTTGAAGTAGGCAGAACTAAACTGCTTGGGTCTACATAAAAGACTACTGTGAAAACATGACAAGACATGAAATTTGACCCAAGAGATTTATATCAGCAATATGAAAATTGAAAGCACACTTATAAGAACAGAGAAAAAGATTATGCAATCGTTTCTTTTGGGGGGTTTACTCTTCAGCTGCAAAATGCATGTGCTTCACATCCATCGCTGGAGACAATTACCTCTGCTGAGCAGCACTCCATGGTTTACATTTTTAGTTCCTTTTGTTTTCTCTGTAGCATTTTATTTCAATCATGAAGAAGAAGAAATATTCATGCCTGCTTTGAGGATCATAAGTCTCCATATGGAGACTTAATTCTGCACAGAAGTAATGAACATCATAGCACATGGCTCTCACCAAACTCTCCAGGTCCCACACCTTTTAGAAGATACTCCATAAAGCATTTTCTTCTTCCCTATCTTAACAAATTCTAATCAGTTCATAGCCGAGGAAACTGTTTGCACTTAAAAATGTTCAGCAGCAAGGAACAGCAGGAGGGGGATGAGATATTGATTCCCACTCATTAAAACTCTCTAGTTTATTTGGCTTTCAATTCCTTCCTTGTGGAGCTAATATTCATTGGCCTTTATGCAACTTCATTCATTTTCCAGAGGCTTGATTAAGATTCTGTTTAGTATAAAAAAATAGGAACACATTCACATGGCAAAGGATATGGAATAATGTAGCATATTCTTGGAACTTAAATAAAACTAACAACAATAATAATCCATTAAATAGAATACTTTATTGTGGTGTTGGCTTTATTATGTTTGGATTAATGTTCAGATGACTGACTTCTTTGTGCTTTAAGGCACTCCTGATTTACTTGCCTCTTTCATTTCAGAAATCTTTTCTACATGCTATTACTTTGATTTCTGACAAAGTTTTTATGAATTGTTATGGATCATTAAATTAGTGCCTGTTTTTTTTATAACTAAATGGCATGGACTGGGACTAAACTTGCTCTCATAGAACATAAAAGTAGTATAAGCAAGGTGGGGAAAAAAGATAGCTTTTCTCCAAGACTGAAAATGAGATAGTAAGTCAATGAGGCAGAAAGATAACACAGTTCTGCTCCAGATTGTGGAAATGACCCAGGAGGGGGTTCATTTACCAAAAGTGGCACTTGATAGTAGCAGGGTAAAAAGGAATACACACAAAATGGTATAAATTTGGCTGAAGTAGATTCACAGTGATTTGTGAAAACAATGTACGCAGCTTTAAGTACACTGGCAGTAGTTTGCATACAAATTAAAAGATGAAGATTTTCAAATTCTTTTAGAGAACTGAATTTGCTACTATTAACCAGGTAAACTATCTATGTAGAAAAGCCAACTATTTGCCCTGGTTTGGCTACTCTAGTATCCTGTTGTTATACAAAAGTAAAAAATAAGAAAAGGCTCATTTCAGACCTTCCACTAGTAACATAATGATTATATGGCAGCTCTGATGTGGCTAGAACAGAAATTTCCTTTCCTCCACATTGCATAGTGCAGACAGTGCTATTTGTCTTCTCTATACTGTTGCCCAGGACCCCACACCATAGAAGCTTGTTCTGAAAGGATGATGAAATCTTTTCTGGATGGCGAATTGAAACCCACATGAAATATAAACATTGTTTCAAAGGGAATGGAAAAAGTGTTCTTTTACTGAACCAGATTTAGTAAAGATGGCATAGTATAGAAAAAAAAAATACATGCAGGTCCCAGATCTGCATTAAAAAATGGACATGATTTCTCAAAAATATTTTCCAGCTGCTTCATATTGTTCTGGTCAAACAAATCAGCTGTAGTCCATTTTACCTGGATGCTTAAACAACTGAAGCATACTAGTGAGTATTGTAACATATTGTTTGCTTGAGGCATCAGATCGGTGATTTCCATACTTAGAAAGTAAGAGCAAAGAAAAGGCAAATTATTCTTGGCTTGCCCGTCATCCATGTTCGTTGGCTGCACTGCCTCTTGTGCCACAGCCACAGTCAGATTTAGCAGCTGGGATACCACCTCTCACTCCTTACTGCCATCCTGAAAATTTTCCCCCAAACTATCTAAACCAATCTTTGTTCATTAGTGGGATACGACTAGAATTAGTTTTTAAAACTATCACTATCTATCACTTAAAATTTACTTTTCATTTACTGGGTAATAATAGCCCTAATCTGAATTGTTTACCTACTCTGATCACAAAGGATGAAAACCCTGTGTATGTCAGGACTTTTTGCCCTTTTTTTTTTTTTTTTTTTTTTTTTTTTTGTCTAAAGCAATGAACGACTTGAGATTGCCAGGACGTGTTACACGAGCTCCGGGGACTCCAGCACCAGCTTTTTGAGCGCATGTTCCTGGGGAGAAGTGGCTGGGTGCACAAATAGGCCAGCAGATAAAATGGCAGGGGCGGGGGGCAGCGCGGAGAGACAAATTGGTAGATGCTTCCAATTTTATTGTATGTAAGAACAGAGGGCAAGCAGTCATCTTAGTCTTTGGGATTATGGTATATTGAAAATTATATAACCTGCAGTCATCTAATCATTAACTAGACAGTCATGACAGCTCTGATTATGCAGCAGACCCTACAATTTTAGTTTTGATTAGAGTAGTGGGAAATAATACAATTTTCATCTTTTCTTTTTAATGGGCATTCCTTCAGGAGTGATGAGACTGTGGTGGTTTTTACTTTGCATATAACTAATCAGCCAAAATCCCACTACCTCTATGTGATACTGCCTCTGTATTTCCCCTAACCCCCTACTTAATTAGATAAAATACTCTCTTTGTTTTCTGCATATGAGGCATTTGACACAGAATCTTATGCAGGACTCTTATTTTTAGATTACTGCTCTCCCTCGAACTAATCTCGTGAGATTTACTTCTTGTGAGGGACACCACTTTTTAGCACTGGGTATTGCAGTTTTCAAAAACTGGCAGATCAAACAGCAGCAGAAAGTTTCATCACAGCTGTCCTGATTGCCCTGAAAGATTCATAAAGAAGAGATATTAGATTAGTCCCTGATGTCTTGTCAACACCGTCTTTCATCTCGCAATTCTGCCTGACAAAAATGTGTGTAAATTAAGATCCAAGTTCTTACAACATGAACTTCAGAGATAATCTGGGCAGGGAGAGCAGTGACCACGCTTGGGGACAAGAAGCCTTGGCACTTAGGAACCATCAGGCAGTTTGGAACACGTTTCTCCATTTATCGAAGCTGTACCATGGTCTACACAGAAGTTCACTATTTTCTCTCTGCTTTTCATCACAAGTCCTGAAGAGTGCCTCTGCTTGTTGCAAATGGATGAAATGCTCTCACATACGAAGCTGTAACCTCCCCACCAATCCAGCCCCCATCCTATCTGCAAGCCAGTCTTTCCATCTTGCAACTTTCCAGGTATCAAACTTAACCTTAAGTAATGCCAACTGCAAGTCCGATAGATCCAATCAGTAGTGAAAAAATTAAGATTAATACACCTTTGTCTGACTTGGGGTGAGGTTTTAACCCTTTTCTGAAGGGAATATCTGATTATCAACTTATATAAATGAAAGGAAAGCACCACCAAATGCCTTCCATCTCCTTAATTTTGTGAATTGCACATACAAATTAAGGACACTATTAAGACTTCAACACTTTACACTTGTCTGTAATTTCTATGTGGAAATAATTAATATTCATATTTGCACATGTTGTCTGAGTTACCATAGGGCCCAGAAAGAGTTCTTCTGCTGATATTATTTCCTAAAATTGAACAATTTTTTTTTGCTGATGGCATTCTTTAGGCAAACTCATTTTTAATATACAGACATGTAATATTGACAAGCCATATAGAGACATATAATATTTGTGCATTACAACCTGTAACCTTTATATCTATAAAGGACACTCAGTTCCATAGCCTCAGTCCCTATGGACCAGTTCATAAACTTACATACTCACTGTACTGACTTTAAAGGGACTATACTTGCAAGTAAGTATTCCATGAGGATCCAGGAATTCACCATCAGTCTTCATAAACACAGGAAAGACTTTTTAAAGGGATTAAAAATTTGGGTGAGACGGGAGTTCACAGGGAGCACACAGGGAAAAAGTGATTTTTCAATGTAGCACCGATAAGGCGCTCAATATTCCTTGAAGATCAAATTGCAAATGAAGGATGCAACTGAAAAAAATGTCATCTTGGAAAAGCTTAGCAGGAATATTTAAAAATAATTCTGTCAGATATCTCAGAAACAGATATGGTATGGACTAAAATTGAATACTACTGCATGGTCATTCATCAATGCCAACAGCAGTTTTCAGGCTACTGAGAAACATTTGAATATATCTCACAATTTTCCTCACTCGGCGCCTAAATTAAACCCCCACAAAATTAAACCCCCACAAAATTTAAATGCAAATGACTTTCACAAATTATATATAGAAGTGCAAGAGACATTAAAGCTCACAATTTGCAAATTGTACTATAGTTTCCTCCTTAATAAAAGCTCTATTTATAAAGCAATGGTTCATTGGACATTGCAGAAAGAACTCAAGGAAAATAATTTTTTCTTCCTTTCTTGAATATTTTATACTTCTTCTTTTGCCATGCAGTAATTGTGTCTGCTATTTAATTGCTCTCATTTAAGAGCTAATAAAAGATATAAATCATACAGCTTTCGAAAGATATCACAAACAATTTTTATGATCCCACACTACAAACAGAAAATCCTCCATGTATTGCTACTGAAATAATATAATTACATCACATCAACCATTTTTATGCTTTTCCTTGCTGCAGGCACCTAAAATAGCAAAATGGATTTTTATTCAGTTGTAGACAGTCTGATACAGCATTCTGTGCTTTGTTCTTTAGAGCAATCGGCCACTATGAGCTCTAAGAAACTTAGGTGCTGCAGTGAGAAAATGAAAAGATTCTTGGGAAAAAAGGGGTTTTCTCTATTGACTTAAAAACTCTTTCTCTAAACAAACTGTTTAAGGCTAAATGCTACCTACATTTACTGCTATCACAAAGTCAGCGCCACCCCCATTTCTATAAACTGCTGTTTATTTCCAACAAAAATAAATCTTTAAAAAATGAGACAAATCAATAGGAATCCTCACTGAGTAAGGACAGCAGGACTTGATGATGATGAAGGCTTGTCTCCAGTATGCTCAAACCCAATACCTTCTAAATGCCCAGAGATAGAAAAATACCAAGAGTGTAGCCAATGATAACACAGACTCATATGAACAAGAACAAAATTCTTTAAATTGCAGAGCATCCTAGTAGCTCTGATTAAAATCAATTGCAGACTAAAGCTATATAGGACTGTCAAAGGCTGGCATGGCATCCCTTGTCAATTTTGAAAATATATCTCGCATAAGCGCCACTCCTAGAATTATTTCTCCCCTCAACACACTCTATTGTCAAATTAACACTAATCTATTTCCATCACTCATCCTACGTGGCATTGCCCCAGCCATTAAAATGTAATGTGTGCAAAGAGAAACTCCAGAGAGCTACGTGTTTTGATAAAACTGCTTTTTTTTAAGCAAATCAGCATTGCAGATGCACTCATCGTCCCTATAGCTTTAGTTTATTCATAACTGCTAGGACTAATGAAGTAGGAATTAATGAGGAATAATATTTTAGCTCAGCTCTCTTTCTTGATGATATTATTTACACAAGCTGAACAAACTCTCCATAGTTCCCATATTGCTGGTATTTATCTTGGAACACAGCCAGTGAAAGGAAGCATCAGTGCAGCACCTTGATGTTTGAAAAGTTCAGAAAAACACAATTTTCAAAGCGGTGGACTTTTTGCAATTCTTCAAGAAATCTCTTTTTCAAAATAAAAACTCTGTTTTTCTGATCTGTGGATAAACCTAATTTCATAAAATGTATATGTTATTGATGAAGGTTTACTTGCCTTTTGAACTTGTAGAGGATGAAAGCCCCAACTGCGACTAGACAGATAACAAAGAGGACCACAATAGCCCAGTAACCACTGCCACCTCCAATCCTCTCAGAGTCTGAAATATGAAATGAAAGAACAGCTTAGCACGTCCTTGTTCAGATCAGTCACATTCTTGGGCTTTTCTATCTAATTGTCAGGTCAGAAACATTTTTGTTATTTGTGTAATTTCTACTTTTCACTCCATCTGTAGCCTTTTCAAAAAGGCAACAGCACAAAATTAATTGGTGACTTGTGACTGAAGGACAGAGGACCAATTAAAAAAAAAAATCTTGAAGATTTGATTATTTAGACACTCAGTGTTTTTTTTTCTGGGAGTCTAAAGTTATCATAGGAAATGATCACATACCTTAAGTACATGTGTTGCAAAACCAGGGCTGTATTAATTCCACAGGTGGAGAAACTAAGGCTCTGAACAACAAATGAACTCATCAAAGTCATACATTGGTAAAGGCTGGAATGAACATGGGCTTCTTTCAATCCCAGCCTTTTGTGCTGGCTAACGCGTGTCAACCCTTTAAACCAGGTGAGTTACAACAGCAAAACTGTAGCACAATTCTACTTTAGAGACTAGATAAAACAGCTTTGTCTTCTACAGAGAGCTGACAGACAAAATTTCACACCAGTATTTACATTAATTGATTGTGGTCACCTAAGCTGTTCTCCCACAACACGTTGAAATAAGAAAGAAAGATATATTATGGGTATGATACACAAATAGAAATTACAGGACATTCTAATACAAGGTTCAAGTCAAAGTTGAACTTTCCGGTTAAAACACCATTTTAATGTATCTCTGTTCAAAATACACACACATATATGTATACATACTCTCTTCAACTAGTTTCCAGGTAGATAGTGAATCCACAGATGCAGGAAATGCATGCAAAAAACCCCTGTTTCTATTTGTTTCAAACACAGAAATAGCATATAATTTATCTCAGGACAGGATTAGCAACATGGGGACTCTACAGCAAGCTTCACCTCAGTTGATTTAGAGATCAGAGATACAAGGCAGAGATGCCTTGCCTATGTCCCAGACCCCTGCAGTTATATCTGGCTTAAGTAAAGCACCGCTGCTTTCTTGGTAGCCAGTGCAGCCAAAGTGCATCAATAGATGGTTTCTTTGAAGCCCGGTTGGCTTTTCCTCCAGGGCACTGTTTTGTATAATACAGGTATTCAGTTAACATCACAGTTACACAGAAAAAAGCAAGAAGTTTCTGATACAAATCATGAGGTTCAAGCCAACCTCATGCAGTTCAACAAGGCCAAGTGCAAGGTCCTACATTTGGGTTGCGGCAATCCCAAGCACAAATACAGGCTTGGCGGGGAATGGCTGGAGAGCAGCCCTGAGGAGAAGGACCTGGGTGTGCTGATTGACCAGAAGCTCAACATGAGCCAGCAATGTGCAATCGCAGCCCAGAAGGCCAACCGCATCCTGGGCTGCATCAAAAGAAGTGTGGCCAGCAGGTCAAAGGAGGTGATTCTGCCCCTCTACTCCACTCTCGTGAGACCCCACCTGGAGTACTGCGTCCAGCTCTGGAGTCTCCAACATAAGAAGGACATGGACCTGCTGGAGCGTGTCCAGAGGAGAGCCATGAGGATGATCCGAGGGCTGGAGCACCTCTCCTATGAGGAGAGGCTGAAAGAGTTGGGGCTGTTCAGCCTGGAGAAGAGGAGGCTCTGAAGAGACCTTATTGCGGCCTTCCAGTACCTAAAGGGGGCCTACAAGAGAGCTGGGGAAGGACTTTTTACTAGGGTGTGTAGTGACAGGACGAGGGGGAATGGCTTTAAACTGGAAGAGGGCAGGTTTAGATTAAACATTAGGAAGAAATTTTTTACTTTGAGGGTGGTGAGGCACTGGAACAGGTTGCCCAGAGAGGTTGTTGAGGCCCCATCCCTGGAGGTGTTCAAGGCCAGGCTGGACGTGGCCTTGGGCAACCTGGTCTGGTGGGAGGTGTCCCTGCCTATGGCAGGGGGGGGGGAACTCGATGATCTTCAAGGTCCCTTCCAACCTAAACCATTCTATGATTCTATACATTTAACAAGTACCAAGTAAGTATATATGTGTGTATATGTACATATATATTGACACAAAGATTTTCTCCTTAACTTATCAGAACTCAGACAAGCATCCAAAGGTTGGTCTGTTGGGAGCTTTGTTTATATATTTACCTGAACTGGAGTCAGCTAAAGTCACTAAGATCCAGAATCCTCCCCTCAGAAAGAAACTGATGTTGTGTGCATTCAAGGCCTGCTTTATAGCTGCTATTCTCTGAAAATACAACAGAGAGAATGTCAGACATTTCGCACTCTGTTCCACTTTGAGAGACTCAACGCTCTAAAAAGGAAAACCTCTGGTTCATTAAATGGTGAGAAACTCAGAAAGCATTTGTCAACGATGAGCTAAAGTCTTAAAGAAATTCCATATTTAAAAATCATGCAAAACTCCACAAGCCGTAAAAAGCTGAAAATGTCAAAACTTTATAGCCAAATCTTTCTTTCTGTTTACCAAACCCTTTACCCAGTATGTGACAGACAGCACATCATTTGCACACTCTATTGGGTTTACCTCGGTCATAACTCACACAATGCATAATCCATATTAAAAACTCTCCATTTTTCTAACCTATCAGAACAAAACCTGTGGTGTCACTTTAGATTTCTTGCTATGAAAAGTAACTGCTATTTGATAATGAACTGTATGTCATAATTTACCTGACCTCCTTACCTATAATGGGATGGATTCCTTTTATACCTAATTTTTAACAATACTCTGTAGAAATATATACATCCATCCATGTGGAAAAAATCAGGATTCCTCCTATTTTTCTCCAACGGATACAGCATAATAAAATATGGTCTCTCACATTTTTATGGAGCAGAACCATTAAATATACCATCGTATCCTAACCCCAGGTGACAAATTGTCTGAATTTTTCCTTCTACTTGCTTGTGTCTTCAACAAGGGTAATTTTCTAAAAGATCAAAGCTAGTTCTATACGCTATGCCTTATAATTTAGGATATGACTTTCCACAGGATACCAAATTAGAAATATGCTTTATATCTACAAAACCTTCACGAGCAACTCCTTTTATGATATTATCAATTACGGTGTTCATCTTTGACAAGTCTTTGCAGTATAATAGATAGAAATCCCTGTAGTCTCTCTCATGCTATGGACAGAGACTACACAAAAGTTCAAATTCAAATATCCTCATATTCTCACTCATATTGAGGAATATCTAACTTCTGAAGCCATTCCACTGACTTTATTACATTGGGTGGGTGTGTGTGTGTGTGACTCAAAATAAGGGTGATGTGAGCATGGCTTTAGTTATTTTATGAGATAATTCCTCCAGATAGCTCCTAAGTATTTAGCTTTTTGCCCAAAGTCTGAAAAGAGAATGGATATGACAACTATATTGATTAGCAGCCTTTAAAGCGTTGCTCGTACCACTGAAATAGAGTTACTTAGTCTCAGTCTAGATTCATTCACATGTTCATGGTATACAACGCAAGGATCAATACTCGAGGCTAATCTGACATTCAGCCAGTAAATGAAATTACTGAGCCCCATAACTTTGTCATATTTTCCTGGCAGGTGTTTGAAGAATTCAACATTTACTCTGTTTTTTGCTCATGTGACTAACACTTGTTTGTTATTTCTCTCCCCACCCCTGGGTTCCCACCAAAGCCTATATGAACTGCACTACCACAGGTCAAAAATCTGAATCTCATGAATTCAGCCAAAGGTTCTGGCTTATTTATTTCACTGTTAGATTGATGGTTGTTTCAGTACTCATGGGGTTTTTTTCTGCCCCGAGGTATTTATTGAGCAGTACTGCCACCTCTCCAACTGTTTGAAAAACAAATCCAGTGTCTGGTTAAGGTTCTTATACCAGCATTTGAATTTTGGATCTTCTTTTTCTACATCCTTTCCAATGACAATACTTGAACATGTGTACACATTGGCTCCTGCATTGTGGTATAAGAATGCAAAAATAACGACACTATTCAAACTCTTATCCACTTATACACCTAGGGGTGTGACTTGCCCTTTTTGTCAAAGCAACTCATTGGGAATTTTCTTGTAGTAGCTTGTCTAGATAGAGCCCAAAATCTTCCTCAGAGCCACTGCTTTCCAGGCTATAGTTTAAATGCACTTCAATTGACTCAACCGGACTCATCCCACCTGACATTAGACATGTAATAGATGTGCATAAATCAAGCGACTGAATTTTCCTCTAGAGTCAATGATTAGAATTAAATACTTTTGAAACTGCTGTGTTCTTAAAACTAGGTTCAATCACAGTCAGCTTTTATTTCTACATGCATAAATTTGAAAGAAAGAGGGCTTTTGTCAGAATTGAACCAAACTTCAGAATTATCCAAAGGACTCTTACTACTACACTGCCAGCTTACTTATGATCTTTGTTATTGCTGGCTATGTTTATCAGTAACAACTCCTATTCTAGACCACTAACTTAATAAATAGCAACACATCACAACACTCCATGTAAAACACCAAAAGAAACTATACCAAGTAGGTGTTCTCTACCTGACCAAGAAATTATTGCCTTTAACCATCCTTCTGAAATCACATAATATCCCAAATCTAAAAGGTGAAGAACAAACAGGTTCTCTTTAAGGGAAGACATTTCATAACTATGTCTAAGTTAAGGATTTCAGGGACATCTCCAAGCACACAGAAAACATTCTGCATTGGTGAGTCCTTGCAATAGTGTCACAACACTGACTTTGAGAAGTGGCACTAGCAGCATGACAAAGCACATCTTTACAGTGAAACATGATGAAGACCTTCAAGATTCTTTTCTGATGACAGAAGAGAATGTAACAAATCTTTAAACAAGTGACATTCTGAGTATTTTCCTGTTGACTTAACCAGTTACAGCTCCTAAAGAAAGAATTTCTTTCTAAAGAAAGAAAGAAAGAAAGCATTTCCTTTAGAACCTGCACCTCGCTTCACTACTAAAGAAACAACCTACTAAAATTAAGCCTTTCCTGCAACATAATCAGGACTTACGACTCCCAGGAATTCCTACTATGATTACAGAGGGAGAGCAGTAAGGGTTTGGGGTTGCCACAAAGCAGAAAATTTTGTGCATTCACACTGTACTATGTGCATTTTAAAGTAAGACACCTGTTCAAGTACTTGGATAACATCAATGTACTCCTTTGAACCTTCCAAAGTGTACCCCATCAATTTCAAACACAATCTACTGGGTTTGTGTTAATATGAAGAGCTTTGTCTTACCTACTTCTCTAGGTCTTTGGATACTGTGACCTTGTCTCAAAAAGTTGTAAAATGCCCTTAAAAATTAACAATACCTTACATTGGAGTTCTTTGTAACTGGCAGGACTTGAACTGCAAGATACAGACACAACGTTGGGATCTGTTCCTTCTCTGTCACAGTAAAGGGATTAATATCATAAATTGTAAGCACCAGTCTTCTGATTCTCAACTGGCATAAGGTCTTTTATTATGGAAGAAATATGGTTTGAAAATAAGTAGGGAGAAACTAATGTCTGATTTTCATTCCTGTGTTCATTATATTTATTTCTTGCCAATTGGAAAGGACATTTGTTCATAAAGGCAGAAACTGCCTGCTTGATGCTCCTTACATTACAGGTCAACTATTAAGGTTCTGTTTCTGTTTGACCTGAAATCTAATTTGCTTCTGAAGACAGTGCAGAGATGGTTCATCCCTCTTTAGAAATATCAGTGTCCTAAATACATTCTTCGCTTTACCAGATCTTCACAGACTGACATGCCATCACTGTTGTTTCTGTTTAAAAACCAGACCAGTATTAGTAATTCTTGAGAAATGCACTAATACCAGTAAGCATCAGATTATGGTGGTCTATACACCATCAAACACAGCAGTCATAGCTGTTGGTAGCTTTTACATGTCTCTTGTCAGGTGGGAGTGATATCTTTACGTAGTTAGGGAGCACCTTTTAAGTTCACATAAAGACAATGACAGTACAGCCACTGATTGCAAAACAGGATGAAGATTGTCCTAACCAGATATACATTGCTCTCGTTACCTTATCACTAGTTACACTTCTCTTCCTTTTTGGTTGGTTTACTGGTAGTAGCACATGCAAGTCAGCAGTTGTGGGCAGACCAGGTTTCACGACTGTCATGAGTGTTTCTTTGGGTATATTGGTTTCCTGTGAAGACAAAGGCATATGGCAAATTATAGGACACCGTGCTTCATATTTTATAGAAAATACATAAATAACTCCACATGTGTCTTTTAGTCTTAAAGATTATATTTAGAGAGGATTCCATCAAAAGCTAAAATGTGAACAAAGCCAAACATAAATTAACTGAAATGTGAGCCTCTCTTTGAAGACTGGAAGAACTAAGCATTGTTATCACATTAAAGAGATTTAGTGGCATCATGGAAAGAAGCAAAATGAAGTGGTATGCAGTTTTAGCAAAACTCTGCAATGGCTGCGCGTTTCTAGGGTAACACACAAAAAAATCCTAAGTGATTTAGGATCCTTTGTGAGCACAAAGTGTAAGCACAAAGACACTTAGTAGACTTAGAAGGGCATATTCATTACAGCTAACCTTAGCTCGGGGAGGCTATTTTTCCATCTGTGTTTAACAGACAGAGAGAAGTCTTCCAGGGTGAGACTAAAAGCACCTAGGTTCAGTTCCTGAGATTGTTATGAATACCTGCATCCCCCACTGAAAGTCAAGTGCAGACCTTTTCAAAATAGTTTGTGCAAATTTTGCATTTAGTCCCAAATTCCTCCATGTGTTGTACAATAATACAGTCACACAATTCCAATGATAACATGGTGGGCACTTTCCATAGCCCTTCTCCAAGAGATCCTGAAATTCCATTAAATTGCTCATGTTCTTTTGCAAATGACTTTGTAATTATAAAAATTGAAGGGTTATTTTATAAGGAAGCAAAATATTTGTTTGACTGATACTGGTTATGGAATGGGTTTAAATTGGGAATTTACTTGAATTTGACATTTGATATGAACCTCAAAAAACAAAGGTAGGAAAAAGTATAAAGTCAAAATTCCAGAGCCTGATTTGCACTACTGTAAAGCTAGGAAAAGTCAAGTGATTTCAAACACGAGCATTTTCAAAACATTATCAACCTGCACTTCAGTGCTATTGTTCTCAGAAAAAGTCAATGTGTGCACGCTCAGTTGCTGGTAGTGTGTGTACCTGAAGAGCACAGCTCTAGAGTTCACAGTTTTTATAGGGTACGTCTACTTATCTCACAGAACTGCTGCATGGCTTTGTACTTGATTTAACCTACAGGATTCAACTGCTCCCGATCCACATTTCTTTTGCGAATATTACCTAAAAAAACAGCTGTAAGAACTATTTGCCTAGATATTATATATAATTTTCAAAGTTACACAACTGACATTGCAAATTTTCCCTTTCTGTTTTGTTTTTACACAAATCCTGTGTCTTTTATGTTACACAGCATCCTTTGCATAACTTCTAAATATATCACATTTAAGCTATTCTTCCTGTTTGGGAGTCAGCAGTATTTGCCAATACATCTATCCCAAATCCCAGAGAGCACTCCTTAGCAGTAAATGCCAATTAGGCTGTGTTAGACCTAAACTTTTTATGTTACAATATCATCATCTACAGTCTGCATGTAAAAGTGACACTAGGCTCAAACTAGTTCAAAATGTGGCTCATTAGGTTCATTTTATTATTTTGCACTGCCTCCTTTTTTCTAAATGAGAAGGCATTAACTTAACCTTCAAGCTTTACGACTGGCGAGGGAACATTTTACGAGCAATCTGAAAGAGCACCTTTGCAAGAAGTCGTGTTACTACCCGCCCTATGTCTTCCCTCCACTCCGGTATGTCAGGGTTGTATATGTCCAGATGCTTAGTAAACTTCAGAGGAAGAACATGAAAATGATCTAGGAAAAAAAAACAAACAAACAAAAACCAAACCAAACATTTTTGAACAAGTAACAAACCAGGTTGCAAAAACAGTTTTGCAGACATAAATATCCATTTGCATTAGAAATAAATATCTAAATGCAGAAATATCTATTTGGCATTATTTGCTGTCCAGCGCTGCACTATCTAGGAACCCCCACTGCTCTGTGTTGTGTACTCTTGCAAGAGTACACTCCTGTCAGGCACTCAATTTCTTTCTGTATTTTCGTCAACTTCATCAAATTTGTGCCTAAAGATAAAAAAGCAGGAAGAAAAAAAGAAAGAAAGCACATTTACATATGACCTCCGAGGTCATAACCTTTCCAATAATTTTTCCTTAGGACAATACAACACACACATGTGGTTGGTTTCTTTTATTTGTAATGGGAATGCGCCAATGGATTTTATTCTCACTGAATCATAAACATATGGGGTTTGCCCATTACATGTTCCTGTTTTTCATGAAAAATGAATATTTTACGTATTCCATCAACTAGCTATGAAAATAAGACCAGAAATGATATACCAAAGGCTAACTACTGCCCTCTTCAAAAAAAATAAAAACAAAGTACACCCACATCATTGCTCTGGATATTGTCCAAAACATCTGAAATATCAGAAATGGGCTGTTCCTCAGTGAACAGTCTCTAAAATCTTCCCTTTCTCCATATAGGCTCCCTGGATGAACACCTGGGGAACTTAATGCAAAGCAGAGAAAGAGGTCCTGTGGAATGTATGAGTCAAACCTGTCCTCCTCAATGCTTCTGATAGAATTGTATTTTAATGTGGTGGGTTTTTTTGTGGCTGTTTTTTTTTTTTTTTTCCCCAAAGGTTTCTTTATTTCCCCCCGACCAGTACTTTTTTGCTCTTAGTATCAGGATTGGCCAACACTAAGAGCAGGAGCAGTGTTTGAAAGCCAGTCATTGATCTAGTCAAACCAAGATGGATTATACTTCTAAAGATGTCTAAAAAAGTGGATGCACTTATAAGTGGTATCACAAACGTTAAATCCACTTATCGTAGGAAAGGAGAAGGTTCATAAAAGCTGTGTTTAGCATGAGTGTGGTTTTTACCACTCTTTTAAATTAGTAAGTATACTAAAAGCAAAAATAACAGAATATTCTTCAGACAATAGAGATGTATCATGTTGTGTGTTTCATGATATCTGAAGGCTTTTAGCTCTGCATTAATAAGAAGCTTTTTCACTTATCACAATTCCCACATGTGACAACACAAATACAAATGTACATAACGGCACTACTTTTTTCACAGTATATTATGCCTTGTCACCACATTATAAGACACAACAAAACACACCAGGGTACAATGTGAAACAAGAGCTGAAGAGTTACTCAATAATTACAGTGGAGCTATACTTGATCCACTCAGATAAACATCAAAGGAATAGTGATATATTGTGATAAAAGGTAATTATTTCAGATTGGTTTTAATACTGAGAGTATATACGCAACTAAATTTTCTTTTTTTCAGTGGTATTTAAACTGATTTATTTAGAAATTCTAAGAAACTCTCTAGTCATAGGCCAAAATACTACTTAAACGCTATTTGGGAACTACAGTAACATTTTAAATAAGCAAAAGAAACAAAATGTTTTAGATGAAACCGTTCCATACAATGACACTGTTCAACTTCAGGGAGTTACCTAGTGACAGTTCATCCCTCTAATTTTAAGAATTAAATGCAGCATTAGATATCACTTTATAACAGGTTCAGTTGTGTCAGGACTGGTTTAAGAGGTATAAGAAACAAGTAAACATAAAAACAAACAAACAAACAAACAAAATTAACAAGAGTAATGTCTCACCAAAAACGTGGACAACTTTTGAGTCCTGAAGCATGGAGCTCCCACAGGAAGCCTGCACTGTAACTCTGACATCACCAGTCTCAGTAAACTTTGTCACCAGAAAACTCTCCAATGTAAGGAGTGGCTGTAAAAAATGAAGAGAAGTTGAAAATAGAATATTAGCAAGAACCACAAGAACAGTGTTTGAAGTGACCCTCATTAAAAATATTAGCAAAAAAGGTTTCACACCAATTCTTCAATTAATCAGTATTTTATCAAATTGCTCAATTATAATTTTCAATACAGAATATTTCTTTCAAAAAGGAACATTTATAAACAGAAGAGATGCCAGATGAGGCAAACATTTCTTTTAGAATAATTGGTAGACGTTTTCATTCAGATCCCACTGAAATAAATGGATTTTGAGTCGGGCTTATAAATCTCTACGTGATTGTGTATAGCAAGCCGTTTGCCTCAAAAAAATGTGGGGTTTAGTCAAAGACAAAAGGATTAATTCTGTCAACTTAGAGCATGACACATGGAAGTGCACCAGTCCACCGTAACCTCCAAGGCAGAACTGAGATACTCTGTTCCCTGACCACATCTGTATGAATTACAAATCCCTTCACAAGACTACATCGATCTGCAGTGCCTGTTCTAGCAACGACAAAGTCAATAATAATGACAAGATACAGGCTGGGATTATGGTAGACAGCACATTTACAAGAAGTAAGTTCATTGTGCTTATCTGAGGCATTCCTCTGTCATACTTAGTCTCCCTCATAAAGAAAATATTTTACTTATCTGTTATTGAAAGAATTAAAAGAAATTAACCCAGCTTGACAAGAAATATTCCTAATAGAAATACTTGGATATTTATTGCTCTAGGATACATTTATCTAGACTTTCTGTCCCCAAATGGCTATCACTAGATTGTTTGAGTGCTTTCACTGTTTTGATATCCTTTTAGATACCCCAGTTATTTTTCATATGCCAGTTTATTTTAGACTGGCAGAAAATATTTATCTGTACAATGAATACATACATATTTTTGTACGGCACTTAAATTTACAGTACTCACATTATCAACATGGAACTGCATAAATCCAAGTTTCATCATTCACCAATGTTATGATCCCAAATGCATACCTCTCCAAAAGTTTTTCCCACAGGTAACGAAATAGAATAAGTTGTTGTTCCCTCCCAAACAAAAATAGTTTAGAAATTCAAACCAATTCTAGAAGAGTAATTTCCATTTCCACTTAATCAATAAAGGGAAATTAACACCTTAAATATACGTGATAAAACAAGGGAAGTTAGATACTCCTTGCCACCAGATATAATTGGCCATTTGGAATGAAAGATGGTCTAAAAGAAGTCATGCAACATGGTAGTATTTCTATTAAAGTAAAAGGTGTGACTCAACCTTTACTGGAAAGAGGGTGAAAATAATCTCAGTCAAAACCTTTACGCACCTGAAGATTGTTTCCTATCCACCAGTAGAAGACTGTCAAATTGGGGTTCTTAGGCAGTATGATGGCTGTCAGGTTCACCTCCTGGTTCCTCCCCACAACTGGAACCACTTCTAAATTTAAAGCCTGTAGTGGAGCTGAACAAAGTTCCCAAAATATCATTGAACACGAATCCATCAATTTATTAATGCCTCTTTCCCCAAAAGCTTCTCACCTGCACACCACAAGCTCCTGAATTTATTTTTCCCTCCCCCGCCTGCTTTACATTTGTGATGAAAGCTATGGGCATAATTGGAAGGACCTCATTTTAACAAAAAAAACAAAATAAAACAAATCAAATCAGCTTTAAAGAAAAAAAATCACAAACAAAATCCTAGCATGACGTGATGGATCACCAAAATGCACCTCTCTGATGTACTTCTTTTTGGGTGCATGTCCAATTCTAGAAACTATAAGCAGATATCCCAGTTAAAAAGCAGAAAAGGCATATCAGGGTTTTTTTTCCCTTTTCTTTAAGTAATAAAAGGTCAAATGAATAAAAATCTAACAAATCTTTCAAACTGATATGGGAAAAGGCAGAAAACTGAAAAAGAATGTTGCTGACTACTCATTTTCATTATAAAATATAAGCTGTTAAGATCACACCACACATAAGATGTCATTAATGCATGCTTTAAAATAGATGTGTATATCAGGGGAGCGTTTATTTGCAACTCAAAATAGATAACCTCTATACTCCAAAATATGCCTTTAGAATAAGCTTGTTCCTTTCTGAACTTTTGCCTTCGAAGTCTGTAAACGTTATTACTTGTATAAAAGAAATGCATCCTTACAATGATTTGATCTGCTTCTTAATGTTGTATTTTGCTTCATAGTACAATAGCTTTATTGAAAGAAAATCTTTCTCTCGGAGGTTTCTGAGTATGTCTTCTTCAGTCTGTCTGAATCATAGAATGGTTTGGGTTGGAAGGGACCTTTAAAGGTCATCTAGTCCAACCTCCCCTGCAATGAGCAGGGACATCTTCAACTAGATCAGGTTGCTCAGAGCCCCGTCCAACCTGTGTGTTTCCAGGGATGGGGCATTCACCTCCTCTCAGGGCAACCTGTGCCACTGTTTCACCACTCTCAGCGTAAAAAATTTCTTCCTTATATGTAGCCTAAATCTACCCTCTTTTAGTTTAAAGCAATTACCCCATGTCCTTTTGCAACAGACCCTGCTAAGAAGTTTGTCCCCATCTTTATTATAAGCCCCCTGTAAGTACTGAAAGGCTGCAATAAGCTTTCCCCAGAGCCTTTTCTTCTCCAGACTGAACAACCCCAACTCTCTCAGCCGGTCCTCACAGGAGAGGTGTTTCATCCCTCTGATCATTTTTGTGGCCCTCCTCTGGACCTGTTCCAACAGGTCCGTGTCTTCCCTGTGCTGAGGGCTCCAGAACTGGATGCAGTACTCCAGGTGGGGTCTCACCAGAGTGGAGTAGAGGGGCAGAATCACCTCCCTCAACCAGCTGGCCACACTTCTTTTCATGCAGCCCAGGATATAGTTGGCTTTCTGGGCTGCGAGTGCACATTGTCAGCTCATGCCCAGCTTTTCATCCACCAGTACGCCCAAGTCCTTCTCCTCAGGGCTGCTCTCAATCCATTCTCTGTTCAGCCTGTATTGATACTGGGGGTTGCCCTGACCCAGGTGCAGAACCCTGTATTTGGCCTTGTTAAACCTCATGAGGTTCACACAGGCCGACTCCTTGAGCTTGTCCAGGTCCCTCTGGGTGGCATCCAGTCCCTCAGGCATGTCAGCTGCACCCCTCAGCTTAGTGTCGTCCGTAAACTTGCTGAGGGTGTGCTCAATCCTACTGCCTGTTGAAGATATCAAACAGTACCTGTCCCAATATTGACCCCTGAGGGACACCACTTGTCACTAATCTCCATCCGGACACTGAGCCATTCACCGCTACCCTCTGGATGCGACTATCCAACCAATTCCTCATCCACCAAATAGTCCACCCATTAAATCCATATGTCTCCAATTTAGAGAGAAGGATGTTGGGTAAAAGCTTTATAATAGTATAATGTCTAGAAGAACTAGAATTTCTTAACATCAGCTGCACCATCTATCTAGGATACCAAAGTACTGTACGGTCCAACTTGCATTCATTATACAGAATGAATACTAAGCCATCCATTTTTGTTTAATTCTAAATATCTTTTAACTCATTCAAAGGTTTTTCATCTCAGTTCAAAGCCTTTCTCTTACTCTCTTTCATTAATTGATTCATTGCCCTTTCACTTCTAATTCACTTTGACTAAACTGATCGAACGAGTCGGCCAAGCTGTGCACACCCTCCTTCTTTTCCACCTCACTTCAACCAGCCTGTGTGCTGCTTCCTCCGAGTATAAGGATCTACTTTCAGTCTGTGTTTTCTCCGATGACTCCTTAACCACCTACAGGAATTGAAGACATGTTGAGTGTTTAAACAAATGGTTTCTTCAACAGCTTCTTTACTGAAATTGAGTTAAAATGCTCCTCCTGTTGCTAGTGCCTTGAGGAAAATTCAGAAGTTGTAGGAATCCCATCAAATTTGTTCCTCCGACAAACAGACATTCTTTCTGATGAGGCAAATTAAAGAAGTCTGGATGGATCTGCATCACCTTTTCGATTTTGCCATAAATTTACATTTTCCCAGAGAAAACTGATCATTCTGAGATACGGTTTTGGTCCCGAAGCAGGTTACTTTCTTTGCCAAAATTTTTAGAGGGGAAGTTGTTTAGTACTTGAATGATGACGCTTATTTCTATATTCCTATGCAGTAAAGAGCTAAAAATAATTATTGTGAGTCCTTCTGCTTGTCTCAGTCACACAATTCCATAATGCATTTGAACAAGCTTCATAGCATCCTTAAGTGTATACAATAGGAATGAAGTTAACTTCTATGATTTAATAGAATATGAAGTTAATCTTCTATGATTTCTGTTTCAAGCTGCAATTTCAGTACAGTTTTCAAAGCTCCCTTATGTTCACACTATAGACATAATGGTTTCATGAAAAAGAAAATGTATGCCTAGTTCTTCTTCAGTTATTCTTATTCTGGGCTACCTATTCACGTTTATACTATCAGATTTGCTCTAATTTCTCTTACAGTTCATTAACAAGTTGCAGATTGTGTGATCTGGATCAGAAAGCATAATCTGGATGAGAGGCCAAAGTTCAAGTAATTGTCCTGTATTACAGGGCATCCCATAGCAACAGAACTTGGCAGAAGTAAAAAATATTCCCTTTACCATTTGTCCCCGAAAAAAATCCCTGGGAATATATCAGCTGGGGATAGAGTGAAAGCAGGACTTTTTGGACACTTCTGCTTTCATGGTATTCCACAGTGAAAAATGTCCCTGAACGGCTATTAGTGTTTCTCTAGAACATAGAAATAGCAGTTTAATTAGTGCCAGCTAATTTCCTCAAATCTTGCAATTTACTTAAAAAATTAAACAGAGTAAATCACATAGAAAGCATTTATTTAAGAGGGCTGGGTAATATGCTTCCATGAACCTTCTAGACCACGCACAGCATCCACGGACAAGCTCAGCAACGGACCACATGTGCTTCAGTGTGGTTTTTGCTGTTCATTGCTTGTTGAGATCTCCTGTTCCTGTGCTTAATCTACTCCTCAGCACCTATAAGTTCCTAAAAAGTAACAGTGAAGCCCTAAGTAATTTATCTGAGCTCTTTGGAGTTTAAAAAAGAAACACGCCAAAGAAATAGGTAACAAATCTGAGTCGGATAATTTTATTCTGACCCTTTCCATTTGTTTTTAATAGGAGATTGGCTGTTAGCATTAATGAGTTGGGCTCCGTCTTCTGATCAGACAAAACTGGAAACTCTGGACTCAAGGACTCTGACCAGCAAAATACATAAATATTAGTAGTCACCAGACAGACTGACATAAAGCACATGGGTCTGTGCACAGCCTTGCAGGTTGCTCCAGCAATTTCCACTGCTTTGGGATTAGGATGGAAGACATCGCTTACAACAGAGGGAAACAGACACCTGGAGAATGCAAGATGAGTATCTTTTCTTTTGATGTTACTTGTTTCTGAATTTTTGACACATCTGAAAACAGGCAAAGCAATAGCTGTCTTGAATCTCAAAGGAAGAGGAGAATTCAGTTCCACTTATGAGTTTCCTTCTTCATTCCAATTATGAGATGACTGAGGTACATTAAGCTTGCGATGGTGCATGATATTCCCTGTGCCATCCTATTCTTTTCTTTTAAATCTATTTGATGGGATTTTTAGGTCTTAATTAAGGAGAGGGAGAGAAGTCTAAGTCTGCCTGCCAACATCCCAAGTACTACTTTAAAATTTTGTGAGAACTAACCACCTAAAATGTGGATTCTACTGCTTAAAAAGTAGCCTGACTTTAAGAAACACTGGGATTTTGAGTCTTTTTTAAATTCATACAAGAGCTCAGATGTTCTCAGCATGTCTGTTCACTTGCTTCACACAGCACCTAGAGGCTTCTGAAAAGATATAGCTTGAAGTGTTAAGTTTTAGCTGCTAAGAGTGCCAATGGGGTCTTGATTCAGGAAGATGGATCAAACCTGATATTTTAACTGAGGCATGCTTGCTATTTAAAAGGTAAATATACCATCCTTCTCCCAAATCGAAACAAAACTAACTCTGACCTCCTAATAGATCAGGTTTACAAGTCTCTGCATTAACAACACACAGCACTGCAAGACTGCATGAGGTTATTGAAAAAATATGCATTTTTCCTAATTGCGACTAGTAATTTTCTTTACTACTTCATAGTTGCCATGAGGTGTTTAAGGAGTAGCGAAAGTAAGAAAACCAAAGAGCTGATTTACAGTTGACTTGGACGAACACCACAGCCTCGTCATGCCCAGCCACATTCTCAGCCTTCACCGAGACGCGGTAAATCCCAGGATTCTCATAGCGGTGACGGATGGGTTCTCCAGTCATTGTAAGGTTCACATATATCGCCTTAAAGCCATCTCCAAGATCTACCTGGTATTTGGTATTCAATACATCACCCTAAAAGGAAAATATATCAAAAATATTTTCAATGGCCAGAACCAAAATAGACAGGACACATGATTATAAACATTTCCTGAAACACAACAGCCTTTCCAGCCACAGCCAGATATTATGACTCAATTGCAATAGTTGCAGTAAAACCACTATGTCCATGGGAAAGATTCTAATGCAACAGATTTTACGTGCATTAATAGAGATAATACTAAATTTCCACAGTAAGTTGCTACCTGAAAATAAGACACCCCAGACCACTAACCAAGTTGTATGACACAGAAACCATCACCTGTCTTAATGCAGCTGGACATTAATAAACGTGACGGCGCAGGGCAGCTCCAAGTTCCAGAGTGATGCTCATATGTTTGCAAACCACTGAATATTGTTATTTTAGTGAATTACCACTCATCCAGTGAACTTCTAGCCCATGCAATTATAAAGTAAAATTAGTTGGTTTAGACTTTCTTCACAGCAGCTTCTAACCACACCCTCTGAGCATCAACCACTTCAAGATCCAAGCTGGGATCTTCTCACAGAGTTGTACTGCTTCATACAAAGCTACCAACATGTCTCGAACTAACATGATCTACTGCAAAATTAGATGCATGAGTAATGAAGCAGATTATTGAGCTGAGTTTGGAAAAGGGTTTAAGAGTCCAGCCAAATAATTCCATCATGTCAAACATCTCACAGAATTTATAATTCACTGCACTTCTGCTAAGCGCTCTTTTAAATGACACCGACTTCCTGAACTCAGGCCTAAAATACTGCAAGACTGATGCTACTGTCAGAGGACAAACATATGCCCATCACTCATGTTGTCCCAGTGTGGCTGCTCAGGAGAGAAGTCAGGCCCATGCTACATGAACTGGTGATGTGGATGGAGTCAAAGGAAAATTCATTTTAGCTGTGAGCAGCAACACCTTCTCAATATTACTGGCAGCACTGCCTTAGCGAGCTGTCCTGCTTCCTCGGTCTTCAGCAACATGTTCCTGCTCACTTGCCACAGTACAGGGCCATCACAGTCATGCAATTAAAACAGGTTGCAAGGTCAGGCTTGGTAGAAAATCCTCCATACTGTGAAAATACAGTGTTGGTTTAAAAATCTTCGGTGCCTCTAGGAAAGGAACCTATACATCCGTATGCTAGTCAGGTGACCTGAATGGCCATCAGAACAGAGAAGGATTGACACCCATCATTTTTCCCCCATAAGCCAACTCTCTGAAACAGGTTTATATCAAAATCTAATCCCAAAAGGTAGCACTAATGTAAAATCAAAGGAGGCAACAAAGCCTAGAACTTATGTACCCTGGCATTATAAAGAGAAGGAAACATACTATTATTCCCTCCTTTTACGATTTTGCAGTTTGGTTGATTTTCTTCCATGTTTTATTAGATGAAAGAGCATTGCTCATAATGTAAAAGAATACCCATAATAAGGGACCTGTAGGGTTATCAAATACGTAAACACCATATTTCAGCACGCATAAAGGACCTTGAAAGCTTCTTATTTGGAAAAAAATGTGCACAATAAACATCTCTATTTTGACAACAGATGGGTAGAATTTAGCAGAGGAAATAATATGTTATTAAAGTTTAAAGCAAAAGAGATGTCTTCTTGCCAGCAATGTGCCAGTAAGTGGAGTCTCTTTAGATGACATTAGCTTGCAAACAGTTCTTGTTCCCTCTTTCTTATGCTAACAAGTATACATGCATATTTTTTCCAGGTGAGACAGAAACCAGTGTTGAAAGTCAGTAGATGCAAGCTTCTCTTAATGTTTTATTCTAATAGCTTCCCTAGTGTAAAGATGAGAGA